TCCTGGAAGAATGGTGAGTGATTTGATGATATGCACTAAGCCCAACCAGCTAGTCTGTAGTATATGGCTGTAGTCTTGAATAATTGGTGATCAATGCTTAGTGTCATGCCATTGACAACATTTATAACTGGACATTTCTAGCTGTAACTCTACGACACCTTTATATTTATTGCCAAAGGTCACATTGATAATATAAGATCAGATTGAAATAAAGAGTAATATATTCTTTATATACAGAATCCACTATCAGTGGTTAGTATCATTTCCTATGTCATTTTGACCTGTTTTAGCTTGCACTGTGAATGTAAGCATTCACAAACTTTCATATGAATTTCTTCCACAAGTTTATTGTAGCGTTTCAGCTTGTCAGCGCAACTATATAATATAAACCAAAAACTATAGCTTATTTATTAAGCCAGAAAATGTTGAATGTGAAGTCTGAAATAATTCATGACCCCCTGTCACATTTGAATAAGGGCTGAAGACCAGAGTTCTTTCTGGCTGCATTTGATGAGAAACCCTCTCTCCTTATTACTCAATTTGTCTTGGCTGCTCAGTCATGTGAAAATACTTTACTTGTTGAACTTTAAATAGAAAATAGACCTCAAAGAAGCCCTTTTGCTTATCAGTTACATTCTACATGCTGAGAAGTCAAAATGTGCAGCCAAACCTCGAGGAGATCTTGGAAGAAACATTGTGGATATATATCCACAGAGAGACAATATGTACATATTCAAAATGAGAGAAACAGATTGGAAAACCACATACAGTTGTGAGCTCTGTTTTACCTCCTCATTCGTAGGATTTGAGCATTTGGAACTGGCCATTTTTCAGATTAGTGCAATGCATGATATGTCGCGAAAGAAATCGGGATCGACCAAAATCCGCACAGTCATATAGATGTCCCCCTGGAGCGTAGCAGCTACACCTCATTAAACATTTTCAGCAAGAAACCAATAAAACTGCATTGTTCTCAAAGGAGACATTCCAGACTCTTGACCCTTGTATGGTTGCATACTCTAAGCTCACCCTAATGCTTTCTCTTGAAAAACAATCCCTACCTAAAAGCAGGTTTCAGCAGTGTTCAGCTCAAACTGTGAGCCCCAAGCAAAGCTTTCCATATTTCACCCAGTGTAAAGCTACATTGTGCTCCTTTAGATTCTCACAGGAAGCGTTTTTCACCCTTCATGCCTTATCCTTCCCCCCTCCAACCTCCTCCACTGACCAGTCTGTTTGTGAGAAAAGTTAGCAGCCCCCTCATCTACTATCCATTACTCCCCACAGGCCAGCAGTGTAACACTCCAGTGCTTCCGTTCCCCTATAGCCTCCACCCCTCAACAACCCAAAATGCTCCAGTACATCATTGTGTCCCATTCTCCCGACCTCCAAACACTCCGTCACAGGCTGCTGCATGCCCTTGTCCTCTCAGAACCTCGCTAACCCAGGTTCCTCTCTCTGTCTCTCTCCTTCTCACTGTGCATGTGACTGTGTCTGCTGTGACTGACCAGGGCTTAAAAGGAAACCTGGGGGAGAAGGTAAGTGCAGGATGTCGGCCTGCATGTGCAGAATTGAGACTCTCTCTCTCACTTTGGGTGTTGATGAGGGTGGGGGGACGACCCAAACCTATTGCACAAATTGTGCAGGTATCGTGATTTATATCAGGAAGGCTTTGGGCTTTATTTTGAACGGCCTTGGGGGTCACATTCGGAAGACGTTTCCCACAATGCTTGGATTACCTGTGTTTATTCTTGGAGCGCTCTGAAGTTTTAAGACTCCCCACTCTAGACAAAGAGATGTTTGGAATGGAGCAGCCTACGAAACCCTACCACTTCAAGACGCATCCAAAACTATCTAAAAGTTGTGTAGTCACTGGATGTGTCCTTGAGCCTGTATTTGGTATGAGTGAGCACTCTATACTGGATTTAGTGCATTGAGCTTCAGTTCCTGTTGTGGCAAATGTGGTTTGAGCCGTTCTTAAACCAGTCCCTTTTGGCAGCTGTGCTCAGTGTTTGCACAAGCCAGCAGTTCTGCGGCCTCCCTTCATCAAGCTGGAATGATATGTAATGTCTGAGGCCGAACAAGCAATGTGAGGAGAAACATGTTCCTCATCCTTCACCATCACAGAAAAGTAGTGAAACTTCTGGATGGTTACCCTCACTTGCCAGCAAAACACTGGGGCTCTAAAGAACTTGGAAAGGAAATAAATAGTGATGTGACCACTGAGCCGACAAGTAGAGAAGCAGACAATATACGACCTTGGAAAGACCCACCAAATTCTCGTCCAGAATAATCAGTGGGCTTCCCTCCTTGTTTATCCCCTCTTTTTAAATGTGGTCATGTTTTACCTTCCAGCAAGGGCTTCAAGTCTTGACCCAACAAATTTTGGGTGAAGAACTTCACTTCATTAGATATCAAAACAAACCCCCTCAAGATGAATGGGCACGCGAGCCCTGAAACTGGCAGCCTTAGCGCTTCAGTTCTCGAGCAAATAAATTCAGTTGAATCTTAATTGGTTGCGTTGGAAAGCTCAAGCCGAAAATCAGGCGAATTGGTGATTGATTGGTTGAACTTTGCAAGAACTGCAGAACTTGAGACTGTGTATTCTTTACACAGAAAGGATTACTTGTTGAACGAAATGAAATCTGTGAAGATCGTATCATTCATTAGTAAGTCCAATCCTTAAATATCAGCAGAATTTGCTCCTGCTTTGGCTGATTGTATTTGGACTCTTTGTCCTGTACCCATTTCTAGCTGCCAAATGCTTGTAATGTAAGCCTATTCAAAGGGATATTTCTAGATCTTCGGTTGTCCGCTGCAAAGTTCTGTGGGTAACCATAAACCTTGGGGCAAAGCTTAGGAGTCCTTTCCTTCTCCACAACCTGAAAATCAGTTTCATACGTCACCCTTGTCATGCCCCAGTAACCTTTGTAGGTGATTAAAAAAAGTGTTAAAACAAATACATCTCTATCCTGTGATAAAGTGGAATCGAACCAGAAAAATAAAAAATTGTTCACAATTTGATGGATGGCTGGGTCATCAAAGGTGTCTTCCTGATAGGGTTTCACATGAGAGAGCTAATTAGGGAAAGTGCTGGAAACCCGAGAGCTTTCCTGTCTGACCACAGAGCGTTGCGGGATTGCGCTTGGATGTTTGGTGCAGTGCTGCGGACAGGCCGACACCGTGCAAATCACCTAGTTTGCGCCAGATAACCAGCCTGCTGGGCCGATTGCTGTTTGCTCAGCAGTGATCCCTGACCCTCTCAACTCGCTGTCAAGACGTAAACTACGACCCTGAAATGAGAACCAGGGTCTGCTGACATTTTACTTACAGACCGAAATACCGTGTTCACCTCTGAGCCACATGCAAGCACTCTCTGTGAGGCGGCTTAGCAAAAGAGTTATGTTAAACAGATGCTACAGGGTGTTTCAGAAAAGGTTTTTCTATTCTGCAGATACAATATATTCACTTATACGTTTGGCTTTGTGTACTAGGTGTAGTTTAATGGATATCATTCTGTCGCTTTTCTGTCAGTTCCTCTCCTCACTGTCTTTCTACCTCTCTATCTGTCCGTAGGGAGCGCCAGGAGAGCCAGGTCTGTCTATCATTGGCTGGAAACCCGAGAGCTTTCCTGTCTGACCACAGAGCGTTGCGGGATTGCGCTTGGATGTTTGGTGCAGTGCTGCGGACAGGCCGACACCGTGCAAATCACCTAGTTTGCGCCAGATAACCAGCCTGCTGGGCCGATTGCTGTTTGCTCAGCAGTGATCCCTGACCCTCTCAACTCGCTGTCAAGACGTAAACTACGACCCTGAAATGAGAACCAGGGTCTGCTGACATTTTACTTACAGACCGAAATACCGTGTTCACCTCTGAGCCACATGCAAGCACTCTCTGTGAGGCGGCTTAGCAAAAGAGTTATGTTAAACAGATGCTACAGGGTGTTTCAGAAAAGGTTTTTCTATTCTGCAGATACAATATATTCACTTATACGTTTGGCTTTGTGTACTAGGTGTAGTTTAATGGATATCATTCTGTCGCTTTTCTGTCAGTTCCTCTCCTCACTGTCTTTCTACCTCTCTATCTGTCCGTAGGGAGCGCCAGGAGAGCCAGGTCTGTCTATCATTGGCCCACGAGGACCTCCTGTAAGTGTTTGCTCTGTCACTGCTAAAACTCTTCATCATCTCCTTCTAATGTCAGGTCTCCAGAGTAGATACAGGTCATAGTGCAGATTTTTAGCAGCTTTTGGCCTCAATCCTTTTATGATTCCAGGGGTTCTTGGCAAAGGTTTCTTCTATTGTTTTTCTTCCCGCACTTAACTTACAGACCACCCCAAAATGAGCGTGGTGTAAGATAGATAAGCAGGATCAGTGTCATCCAGCACACTACTGTATGTGGAGCAAATCCAACAAATCTCTGCTAATCAAGACCCAATCTCTAATATGCACAAACAGGACAGGAATCCCGCAGCAGCTTGTATGGAAGCACTTACACTTCATCAGAGTATTTCGGGGCTGCGACTCCCACGTAATGACGCCAATTTGGAATCTCATCTTCATTAGCTAGAAGGAATGAAAACATCCCAGCCCTTGTCATTATAATCCAGACATTAGACGTGCAGATTGCGCTGTATCTGTTAATGAGTGGTCAGCCATCAGGCGAAATGGGGCTTGTCACCAAACTGGCACTCTTTCCCTTTCCACGCATTCCACCCAGTAAGACAAAAACGCCATGTTACGCCGTCAGAAGTGCAATTTCCTTGCTGATTATGCCGTGCATAGCCTGTGGTTTCCCCATTTATCCCTACACACTGTTATGGGAGGGCCTTCAGACTGTATAGACATCTGTTTTTCTGCTTGCTGATTATACACTTCTCTATACCTCTGACCCATTACCTCTAATAAGGCATAAGGAGTGGACATCAGGCATAGAGAAATGGTGACAGGGAGAAGTTTCATTGAAGGGAATCTCTTCAGCAGATGAGCTGAGAGCATAGGCTTTGTCCTCACCTCCAAAAGGGTCACAGAGGTTGATTTGAGGCAGAAGTGTGGAGAGGCCAGCGGAAATGACCAGTTTCTTTCTCACACATAAGTGAGGCAGTTAGGGAATAGACAAGAGGGATCATTAGATGATGTATTGAGTTGTCATTAGATCTACAGTTACTGTCCTGGCTGATCAGGTGGGGGACATGGTTTCATATCTTAAAACTGAAAGTACAACAAAATACAAGCTATGTAGTTTGACAGGTCTAAAAAATACATTTTGCTAAATCCATTTTTTTTTCTTTGGATTGATTAGCATTCCTGGACCCCAGTTTGAAAACCCCTGGCTTAGGTTGTCAAGTATCTTTTGTTGTATTTGTCATGTTTTGTTCAAGATACACTTTGAAAAATTGTGTCTGTCCTGAAAACAACTGAAAAGCGATATTTAATATCGGTTTAATTTCCAAGATCAGACTGCAGTCAGGAAATTGATGTTGTATCACTCCTGAAGAATGTTATGTATTGCGGCCATAGTGGATTTTTGGTTTAGAGGAGTTCTTTTGAGTAGACTAGGCTTGTTTTCTGTTACTTTTTATTACACTTTCATGCCAACAAAATGAGTGTTGTCAAGTCTGTTTCGGGTAATTCTGAGGGGGCACATGCTGCTACTTCCATTACTCCAGACCTTTAGGTTCCGAAGGCAGAGAAAATCAACCATGTTCCAATAACTACCTGAGACCCAGACACACAATCCCCTTCATTAGCTCAGTTCACCTCTTCCTTGTAATTTTCTCTCAGGTCGCTCCAACGCAGTCCTTTTTTGCCAGGCATATTGAATGACTTCCTCTTTTCCCAAGGGCTACTAAACTTTTTTCAGGAAAGCAGACTTGGTATTGTTTACAGGAGAATGTAGCACTAATCATTACTGACATTTACTTATTTAATTTGTTAGCCTTGTCTCATTTGCTCTCACGTACTGAATAAGGACAACTCTTTAATGTTTTTCAGTTAGTTCCCGTGTTGAATTTCTGTCGGTGTCCCACAGTTTTTAGAGCTTTATTTGTCTTTGTCTCCTCATCCCACACAAAGTGCTTCCTACTGAGCAGGAAGGCTTCTGTCCTTCAACCTCAATTACGACACAACTGAGTTTGGAGGAACAATACTGCGTCTCTCAACACAGACCTCCTTTCATCGAGTTCACATAATCCTCATGTTTTTCGTATAGAAAATAACTCCTCTTCTTTTTTCTTTCTGTCTCCCCTCAGGGACAGCCCGGTACTAGAGGATTTCCAGGCTTTCCAGTAAGTGACTTTTTGTCTGAAGCCAATTGGACAAACTTGTGTAGCGTTTCTGTGTGAGTTTATAAAAGCCATCAATTAGCCACTGCTTCTGTGGCCCTTATTTAATGGATGCATGTGGAAATGACTCAAGGAAGTGAGAAAAAAAAACATACAGTAGACTTGTGCAGCTGTCATTCTAGAAGTTGGATAATGTGAGATTAGGCACTGTAAGGTTTAAAAATGTCCTAGGACCCTTTCTATGGGTATTCTACAGGATGTTAAAGTCCTTTAAGGTGTTTATTACCCTGCATGATCACTGATCTGCTGGACACATTTGGTACATAGTGTTAAAATACAGTGTTTCTAGTGAGTCAGTATACTTCACCATGCTTTGGCCTGACCTTCAAGGAAATACATTTTTTCCATAAACATGGTCATATTAGCTACTAGTCTACTAGTCTAGACAGGAGAATTAGAGCTGTTTTGTGCCTTCACAGTGTCGCCAATATGTTCTCCCACTTTTTTTCCAGGGCCCCATTGGCTTGGACGGGAAACCTGTGAGTTTTGCTTCATTCCTTACGAATGTTTGAGTAATTGACACTCGCACAGGTTTGGAACCTCCGAACCCTTGTACCAAATTATTTGGCAGTAATTGATAATTGACGGTCATTTTGGCAATGAAGAGGATAATTATGGTAATAATAATTATGTTAATTATTGTAATAAATTCACTATTGTTGCCATCATGACATACTATAAGAACATAAAGAATGGAGTGAATTGTACTACCTAAAACGATTAAAGAGAATGGATATTTTTCTTTTGCCAAACCTTTTTTATTTATTTATTTTTTTTACTTCACAGGGACAGAATGGTCCAAAAGGTGATATGGTAAGCAATTTCATTACCATTTAAAAATTTTTAGCCATTGTTAACTGGCTTTAGAGGTGCAGTGCAAAAACAATTTCCAATGAATGTGATCTTAAGAAAATACATAACCTTGGCTGGAATTAATCGAAGTGTTAAAATACAAATCTAAAGACTTTTAGTTTAAAAGGACACACATAATGAGATCTGTCATGTTTGCTTTCGCTAATGAAATACTTTTGGAATAAAAACCATCTGTCATAAAGAGAAATATGTAAAAAAGTAAAACATATCATAAAGAGTAATTTGTCAGTGTCTATAAAACTCACCAGTTGAGCCATTTGTTTTTTTTAAGATGGCTTGTTACAGTGATGTTTATCTAGGCTGTAAGCATGGCCATATAAATTCACAAGAACAACACTTGTAGTTTGATTTATAGGTAGAGTTACTAAACGGCAGTGTGCATCTGTGTGTGTGTGTGTGTGTGTGTGTGTGTGTGTGTGTGTG